CGAGGACCCCGCGCTAGGAGGCGAGGCCCCGCCCCCGGCTGCCCGCGGAGAACGCCTGACTGCGTGCCCCCAGCGCCACGCTGCTCCGCCGCCGCCGCCAGGGGGCGTGCCCGTCGCACAGCAACACACCCCTCCCAGACTTCCGCTCCGCCAGGTGCCGACTCCCAGCGCGAAATTCGCGGCGCAGGGGACGCCAGCGCGCACGTATGACGCACAGACGGGGAGCGCGGGCGCGCACGGACGAAGGGCGTACGCGGAAGTCACCGTCGGGCGCACGCGCAGAGCAGTACCTCATGCCCCTCTCCTGCTCCACGCGCCCCTCTTCCGCCCCCACACGGTTTTTGCTCCTGGTTTGGGTCCTGGCACAGCGCTCCTAAAACCCTTGGAATTTACTGGGTGGCTGACGTCTTCTGCTGCTCATAACAAGGCCCTTCCTGGTGCACATGAGTGTAGGTTAATAGGGTGACTCCTGGGAGGGCCTATTGCATAGGCCATCTCTACTAGAGTAAACTTAAATTACGATTGTTTTGCCTCCAATGGTCTCTATCTTGTAAAACTATTTGAGGCCAATGAGGTGAAATTCGACTTCAAAACCTAAGAAAACAGTAAATTTCCTAAAGAGCTATATTTTAAAAAAATATTTTTTTTTAGAAAAGAAGATAGAAGCATCAATGATGAGAATCATTGATCAGCTGCCTCCTGCAGGCCCCTCACTGGGGATCGAGCCAGCAACCGGGCATGTGCCCTGACGGGGAATCGAACCGTGACCCCCTGGTTCATAGGTCGACGCTCAACCACTGACCACACTGGCCCAGCCTAAACAACTATCTTTTTATAAAAACAAAACAAACCCCACAGCACTGTGGGCAGCATGCCTTTATGTTTAAAGGTAATTGTGGATTTAGGAAGATGACGTCACTCCTTTGGGGATAATGGTTTTTGCAGCTAATTTCCACCCTTTTATGAAGTCATGATGCATAGCCCACTTGCAAAAGTAGAAAGAGAACTGTCAAAAGTTCTAATTTTTTTTACCTTGGTAACTTGAATCTTAAACTTAGCTAGTGGAGCATGAAGGATCAAAAAAGACCTGGATTGCTCTAATGATTGGTCAGAGTTTTAGACAGGCCATTGGACCTTTGAATTTAGCAGGTTTCCATGTCCACAGTCAATTAAAATAAAGACCCGCCGTGTCCACTCACATAGCCGCACCAGGGCCATTATTACCGTGACTGTGCGGCAGGCTTGTCAGTAGAGCGCTGGCCTACTTCTAAAGCCATGGCAACACGCCGCCGGGCTCCCTTAAGTTTTATCTTCTCGTGACTTTTATTTTGAAGCCTTTGGAATGAACGTTCCACATTCTTTCATTGTGAATGTAAAGCCCAGCGTGCCCATGCCGGCTATGGGTGGGTTCCCGGGGAAGGGCCTTATCTAAGATGACGCGTGCAAGCTGTGATGTCACCGACTCGGGACCTGTCCGACAGGAAGCGGTGGCGCCGCTGCCACCCTTAGGCAAGCGCCCAGACACTGTGTGGGACAGTCCTTCTTCTCCTTCTCTGCCCGCCGGGATGCCGGCCGCAACCCCACGCGCTGTGCCCACCTGCCTGTGAGCCTTCAAGAGCCGCGCCCACCCTGACAGAACCAGGGGCGGGGCTGGGATCGTCGCGGCTGGGACCACACATGGAGGCCGACAGGTGAGAAGCTGGCGGGCAACCAAGCGGCTGCGTACAGGTGGGAGGGCTCGCCCGGCGTCCGCGCTCCTGGCCGCCTCACGCGGGCCACCCGGGGGGTAGAAGCTTCGCCCGGGCGCCCACCACACCTACGGCGGGGCTGTCAGACCGGGGGGGCGGGGCCCGAAGTGCGGGGGCGGGGCCTGCAGGCGGAGGCTTGACCAAGCGTGCGGGGGCGTGGCCTTGAGCGGGGAACGTGGTCGAGCGTGCGGGGGCGGGGCCAGCTGGCGGAGGCGTCCCGGAGCGTGCATGGGCGGTGTCTTGCGCGCGGGGGCGTGGCCGGGCGTGCGGAGGCGGGGCTTGTCGGCGGGGGCGGACTCTCCCGGGTCGCGTTCTCCTGTGTCCCCTCCATTCGCTGCGGCCCCGCTCTCCGACCATGATCTGGCGCCGCGCGGTCCTTGCGGGGACGCGACTCGCCTGGAGCGGGAGCGGCTCGGCCTCAAGGTACGGGGCGCGGCCGGCAGGGCGGACTCAGCGAGGCGCGGAGACCTGGCGCCTCTTCCCTGCGGCGCCACCTGGGCCCCAGTCCCATCCAGCCGGGCCCCCAAAGGGTGCGGAGAGGATGGGGCCCTGAGCGCCTGAGGGTCCTGGAACTCAGGTGGAAAACACTGCAGTCGCGTCCGCTTGGACACTCCCTCCCCCGGTGGTTGCGTTGGGATTTCAGACACATTTTCAGACAGACGGGATAGCTGTCCGTCTACGTATGTCCCAGACACTGCACGGGACGCCCTCCGGCTGAGTTACTGGCTGGTGCGTCTGCTTGTCTGTTTGCTGGCGCTGCGGGGAGGGAGGGGCGCTTCCTGCTCAGTGGCCGCGGCTCGGAGATCGGGGCTGCACCGGGGACAGTGCTTGCCCTGCGCCGCTTCCCATAACCACTGGCTACCGGCTGGCGTGGAGGCCCGCCCCGCGGTCCTGGCCGTCCCGCCCGCTGGCACATCTGTGCGGCCGCTGTGCATCCTCCATCGCCTGGGATCCCTTCCTACCCGCTTCCTCCTGTAGCTTTTACCGGTTTTGCAAGACTGGGAGCCCTGGAGCTTTCTGTGCGGAGCTAGAAGGTGCTGGTCACCCGGTAACTAGGTGGCTGGCTGGTCCCCGAGGCCCCTGACGCTGTGTTTTCCCAGCTCCATGGATCCCTGGGGCATTTCGCCTTTGGGCGCTCCACGCCCCGGGCGTGACTCGAGGGCGTTTGGAGGCTGTTGTTGGAGTGAATCTCATCTGCAGCATTGCCTTTACTGTCTGATGAACCGGCCCTTTAACAATTCCTCGTCGAGGATGGGCAACAGCACGCCGTCCCACTTGGGGGAAGCCCGAAAGCTGCTCCCGGGAATCAGATCCAAGTGAGTGGTGTGGAGGCAGGGCTGGGTTGCTGTCCCAGCCAGGTCCCAGGAAGTGCCTCCAGACACCCCTCTGGTCCGGCATGTTCTCCCCTCCGTTGGCAGCTGCAGAGAGGCCTGTTTCCTCCTTCCCCTTGCTCACCAACTGGACACCGGCCACATTCATCACCATTTCGGCTTTTCGTGGCCTTTTGCCGAAAACAATGATTCACTCCCAATCTTTTAAGTGACACAATTGGGCAAAACTCTACTGTTAAGAGATCTGCCCTCCTAAAATAAGGCGCGAGCACCCAGCCTATATCGTCAAGCACCGGC